TAAGTATTTGTACTGCGAATTGTGCTGATCCTAAAATTAAAAGTTTGTACGATATAATGTCTTTGTAAACTATTAATGAATAAATTATAATCATATTGTATGAACTTTGTGTTTTATTTCAAATGTGTTGTTTTAGAATTATTTATTAAGACTTCACGCCAGCAACTGATATATTTTAAATTACAATCGCACAAAAAATATAAAATATAAAAAAAATGCCGAGTCTCGCTTTCTCTATAAAAGTGTTGCCGATGCCTTGTAAAACCGAATAATTTTAGTTAGTGTCTATTATGAAACCTTGGCAATTACGGCACTATCCTTTTTAAACATCACTTGCTATTTGTTCTATTTCTATCTAAGCCTAAGCAAATCTCTCGAAACTAACGTATTTTAGTTTGAAAATCAATAACACCATATATGCCTAGGCACTCGAGTGGCGAGCTAATGGGAAGCTCGCCACTCTGATAGAGTAGCAGAGGGCGCGCTGTTTCCCGCGCAAGAGTGGATTAACATCTTGAGGAGGCGTAATCGCCAATCACCACCGAGGAGTGTGAAGAATACTTCTAGTGTGCCCTCACCCCGGTGCCCAGTGAAAGATGGAGACAGTGGGGTTTTAGTTTTAAGTGCAGTGTCAACTATGCCTACCCTTTATATTTTTTTTAAACTCTGATTTAAACGACATGTGGTTTTGAAAATCCATGAATACATAGTGTTAGATGATTATGTGAAGAAAACTTTTAAATTATGTATCATTTATGTATTTGAATTTTATAAAAAGGCAAGTAAACGAGTGAATAAGATGGACATATAAAGTCTGCGGGCGTGGCAGCCCGATGCTTGCGTCAAGTGACAGGAATGTAGAAAAAAAAACAACAGTTGAAAAACTTATACATTTTAATTAAATAATTACATTAATCTTTACAGTTGTCCCTCTAGCACTCCAGCAGTGACGCTGGTTCGGTTGCGATGCATTTTATTGGTCAAAAATTAATATATTAAAAACAATTTATCTACATAAATGATAAACATAATCAATAACCATTTTATTGCAAGTTAGAAAATTAAGCGACAAAGATGCAAAACGGGTTGCCAGTACAAGGACAGTTTAAATTAATTTTACACAGATATAAAAATTAGCTGACGATAGTATCCCCGCACAGGCAACACTTGTCTCGTAGTTACAGAATAGCAACACTCGCCCGCGCTAGCAATGCGGCCAAGTGTTGCTATAGCAAAATTTACCTTAACTAAAACAATACTAAATCGAAATTGAGGTGTGCGAGCTCGAGGCCGCCGAATGAACCCATAACTGAATATCTACCACCGATATCGGTACAATCACATTGTGATCAAATCAACATCATATCAATGACATTAAAATAACCAAAATCGTACATTGTTGATATAAAATTGTAATTATACGACACACAAACACACACACAAGGCACGCACAGCGCGGCACAACTCATGCCGTCTCGCTCGCCAAGTTAACAATTCCAACACTTAAAATACTGTTAAAACTAAAATAATGACGTAATGAAAATCAATATGCTCCGGACGACCAACGAATTAAATAAAGTAAATATAATACTGTGACGAGCGAGCGAGACGACACGACACCGCGCGCGTCACGTCTAACACGTCGGCCGACAGGCGCGACAGCCTTCATTGGATCATATCAAAAAGTACCATCAACACCCGA